GAGATAATGTGTAAAATGCATTCCTGACAAAGAAAGATTTTTTTAAAAACATACTTATGTTAAATACCCATTAACTTTGTTGCACCAAATATAATGTCTGAGGTCCTTTGGACTAGAAATATAGGAAGTTTTGCAAAGAACAAGCAACTTGTCCGGCTTGTGTCAGAGGATTCTCAGTTTGTACACCCAAGGTAAGCATATTTGAAAGCAGATCCTATCATCATACATCCTGAGGCAAAACCATGTGCACCAAAGCGTTACACAAACAGCCTTCTGAAGTCGAACAGAGCACAGGACCGACAATGAAAACCACTGCAAAGACCAGAACCTTTCATGATCTTTGACAGTGACGGTATATACAACAGTAACAGCTTCAGAGCCAAGGAGGTGCTGGGGGTACATGTAAAAGCACCATTCACTTCTCTCTCTCTGTTCTGAGTTGAGCTTTCCCATAAAGAATGAGTCTACACCAAGAGGCAATATTAAAAACAAAAGGTTAGAGATCATCATGGGACATTAATTATGCAAAAGAAAGCAAACTGAATTTAATCAGAAGCAGCAGATCAGGGCAGGAAGAATTTTCTCTTTTTGACAGAAGCAGTTAGGAAAACATTTATGGTAATACTGCAGCATCTGCTGATTACAGTCAAAGCTGCAGGACACCAGCGTTAAATCACTGAGCCGTCCTGACAGCTCCTGGGTACTCCAGTCACATCGAAGAGCAATTTACAGTGAAATTCATCCAAGTCTAAAAATCAGCCAACATGTTCAAAGCAGAGAGAAATACTTTAGTTTGGACTTTTTTTTAATTAAAAAATTATAAAAGGGAATTGAAGCTGATCAAAGTTTTGATCCAATACATGTACGCATATATCCATCCATATTTTTAAAAACTATATGAATCTATACGTCTATTAATGTGCTTTGTAATCAGCAAGGTTTTGCAATTTATTGGAAGGAAGAAATTTATGAGGTCAAAATATAGGAAGGAGAATTTTAACCCCTTTGATAAGAAGTCAGGACAAAACTTGACACTCCCACGTGATGTGTTAGTGCCAGGCTGAAAGGTCGCTGAGTAGTTAGAAGACTTTTTACGCAAGTGGGAGTTGGCAGTTAAGCAAATACAGGTAAAGTGCGAAGTTCAGCGAAAGACTGAAGTAGAAATGTGAAGAGATGCTTCTGTGAACTGCCTTTAGGACAACAGGCAGGATAGCCACAGGCCCTCGTTCCCCATCAGGCAGTTGCCAGTAATTAAAATAATGGAGCACTACACATATTAACAACTGAAACTTTCACACTTAGATGTTTCAGAGGGCTTTGTGGTGGTCAGAAACACACTGGTGTTTAAATCTTTGCATGATACAAGAACCCAGAGGACAAAAGCCTGCATAGAGGCCCTCCAGGACTAACATTCACAAAAGTAAATGTCTCATATTTTATCAAAAATGAACACCAAAGATTTTCTTCCCCCAGTTGCTTTGGGAGTCCAACTAAATAGTATTCATAACATAAGAGATTAAAAGGAGGAGGAAACAAAAACTTGAAATGACTATTTTAAAGGAGGCCATTGAAACTAGTCACAAGGGATGGCTCTATTGTTGTCTTTTCTCAGCTAGATAAATGGCTTCAAAATATGTTTGCTACAGTTAATCGCTAGCACAATATTAATCTGCAATTTTGAAATCTGAAATTTTTTATTCATTTTCTTTTCCCAAGCACATTAAAAATGTCTCCAGACTTGTATTTATAGATGTAACCTATTGATGGCCAAACTGCACCTGGGTAATCAAAACCACTAAAAAAAAAAAAAAAAATAGCTGAAAAGGTCATAAATTGGATCAATAGAAAATTTCAACCTCACAGATAAGTCCATACATAATTTAATAATAAATCAATGAACGTTTTTTGAGCACCTTATACATGTCTAAGCAACAGAGCTAGGAAACGTTAAGAAATTTAAGATGCTGTCATTGGTCTGCAAACAATCAGGGACATGAGATGAGCTTAGTTTGGCTCATCTTTGGTGTCACTGCTGTACCAAAGGAGCTGTGCACATAAAAAGGGGAACGGAGGTCCCCCGAAGGGGAGTTTATGTAAAGGCAGGCTTTACAATGGCAGTATCTTACCTGGGTGCTGAAGTAACAATAGAACCTACACATATGAGAGACAACTGTGAGGAAATCTACTATAAAGGCTAAAAAGACACCACTTAGCAGGTGGGTATAATTCAGGCCAAGCAATATTTCAGGCAGTCGAGCCAGGAAAACAATGCAGAGCACCTGTAGTGTGCACTGGTTGTCTAACATTTTTTAGTATCAAGCAGTGTTGGGAATTTCATACAGTGTTTTATCAAAAAGCATTCGTCTACAAGATGTGATAAAAAATAATGAAACAATCTGTTACACAAAAAGACACATGGCCACGAATCCTTCTCACGGTCCACCTAATCTCGTCTTTCTTGATAGTGTCTAAAGCAGACTGGAACCCTCTTCTGTGAGCGTGTGTAGCTGCACAGTGACGGCTACCTCAGTGTCCTGGGTGGATCAGGAATGTTCACCTTTCACGTTCACTGTGACTTTGGGGGAAGTCAGAAGAAGTTGCACAGTGCTGGATCCTGCGTGCAGGTGAATCAGGACGCACCTTAAAGCCCTCGAAAGCCTGCCTCTCCATTGGATGGCGGTTGGTAGCAGCCACTGCTGTTTTGCTTACACCTCAAAAGGAACTCATGAAAGAGACCTTCCAGAACTGTTTGAGGAAGTGGCAAGAACAACAGGACCAGTGTGTTTAAAGCAACGAGGAGCACCTCGAGGGGGATTCCTGGCAACGTGTCTTTCACTGCAATAACTGTTCAACAGTCACCGTATCTTTTGATCGCAGCTTGTATATGAGCGGGGTTGCATGTTGACTATGTAGCAGTCAACCCAGGGACTCCAAAGGAAAGCAGCAATTAGGAAGAGACAAATCTGCGCCTGTTACAGAAAATTAAAGGTTGGCAGAGCTTAGCAATTTCCTTAGTTTGTTCCAGGAGAGTCTCTTGAAAGGCCATGAGGTATCTGGGGAAGCTTACATGCAGCCTGGGGAGACAGCAACTGTAGTCAGAGCGAAAAATTTGAGCAAATATTCTGCTAGGAGGAGGGTTGACTCTTGTCTGTGCCCTGTCCTCTTCCTCAGCCACACGAGAGGAAGGAAGGAATGCGCTGGGTGAGTGCAAGTGCAGGTGGCCTAGTATAAACAGATGAAGGAACTAAAATGGATGGCACTAAAATAAAAAAAAAAAAAACGGAGTAGTCATCAGCAAACAGATGGCTCTTAATAGAAAATAAAATCTGATTAGACAGTTTGCGGGAGTATGTATCTGCAGCAAAATTAAGTGAGAAATTCTTAGGCAAAGCACGACGGAAAACTTCCCTCTTCATGGAAGAAAGCAGCGTTCTGAGTAAGAAACAAGAAAACTGCTATTCTGCAAGTTCGGGTGAAGATGTAACACGAGGAGCTTAGTTTCTACATAGATCTTGATGGTCAGTCTTGGGGAACAAATTGGTTTTAAGGTAGGCAAGACCAGGAAAAGCTGTCTCAAGGAGTATAGATGTAATGTATACAAAGCAGTGTTTGATGCAAGCTAATCATGGAAAACTGAAAACTTGTAATTATGATCTACCAGGACATTTTTGATACCACCAAAGTTACCAGGCTGTCCAAAACATGTCAAACACAGACATCTAGACTGAAACAAATGAAGCAACATTTAACCTGAACAACATTCTCTGTCCAGGAAGAAACTTAAGACCCAGAGAGATTTACTTGGGATAGAGGAAGGATAACAGGGCGCTGCCCCAGCTCCTACCTCTGGGGCCAGGTTGACAGAGGTTTAAACTCCAACTCTGCTACTTTTTCACCCCATTAAAGGTCCCTAATTCAGTTCAAGGTCTTTTGTCTGTGGATACTTTATGCCACGAAGGCGCTTATGTAGTACTCTAAATATTTCAATGTGTGTGTGTTGTGTGTGTGTGCGTGTGTGTGTATGTGTAACCTTACATTTTTCCTCTGTGGGAGCAGGCAAGAATTCCCAGATTGGCTGTAGAAGTCAGGTATACTAAAATGAAAGAACTTACAAAGTTAGTGGAGAACTTTGCCTATATTCAGCTGTCTTGCTGTTGTCACTAGATCATATTACACCTGCATGTTGGTATAATTTGCCTTGGACTGCATTTCTACACCAAAGAGAAATTGTATTTGCTTAATGTAATGAAAACACTGCACATGTGCAACAGTGTTGTTTTCTGTAATTTTTCATTATACCGACACAATGTCTCAGCTACATTGTGGGTTAAATAGACTCTGGAGGGCTAGCCTGGGAACCTAAACACCATTTATAACATTTATAACATTGTTTCTATGGGAAATTGCTTTGTGAGTTCCAAAACAACTGATTTAAAAATTAACTTTGGGAATACAACTGGTTTCCAAGTAGATGATTATCTCTCAGATATTTCATGTAACTGGTTGCTTAATTCAGGCACTGAAGCACCAGCAATGGACTGCCTACTATGCACTGACCAACCATTTGTGCTGGAATAGAGGTTTCAAAGATGCGTATGATCTTAGACCTTCAGGCAATCAGATCTGGCAAAGAGAAGCGTATCATTCAAGCAGGTCAACTGCACTATTAATTTCTAATGGTTTATTGTTTTGTTTTTTTTTTTTCCGGTACCGGGAACCGAACTCACGACCTTGCGCTTGCCAGGCAGGCGCTTTGCCGCTGAGCTAAATCCCCAGCCCCTCTAATGGTTTATTGAAAGGAACAGTTAATGTGTAATTGTTTGATCACTATTAAATGCCTATATCTGATAATCTGAGCAACTACTTTGAAGATAACAGTGTGCAATACGACAACCATTGTTAATTTCCTGTCATCTTTTTTTGGAATTCTGTATTTCTATCGTTTTTGTGTTATTTTTATCTTTTTTTTGTTGTTCTTTTCTCTTAAAAAAAAAAAAAAAAAGCAAGTCAATTATAAGTAAGTGCTAACCCAGACAGAGGGAGCACAGAGCTGCAGCAGCAAACAGGCCAGAGGAACTGAGAGCCAAAGGGCTTACAACGGAAGTAAGACCTGAGCCGGTCTCCACACGTGAGGACTCGGTGGTCTGCCAAAGGACAGAGGAGCACGCTGGTGAGTGACGGGGTACCTACCAGTGCTCAGATGCGACAGAGCCTGAGGTTTGGAGGAAACGACGGCAGGAACACAGGAGGAGGGAGGAGGGCTGTCAACTCTCACTTGTTTTTTAATAATAAAAACGTGATTGCTAGAGAAAGACTAACCATCAAAGCCGGTATATAACCGACATCGGTTCACACTGGGGGTTTTTCAGTTATCTTATCTTCCTGGGTTTTCCAAAGGAAGGACAGCTAGTCTGAGAAAATTGTACAGACTTTGTCCTGCGTGAAAGATTAAAATGTCGCCTTATTCATCTCATTGGCACCGTTCTCTTGCCCGCGTGTCATACTGTTAGTCTCACCAATCTGTAGTTGAACTAGGAGACCAAATCAAAGATTTTAAAAGCTTGCCTAATCTATTGTTTTAGGAAATAGAGATTGATTTCAAAGGATAAATCATGGAAATAAAAATGGGCCGATTTCAGTCATTTCTGTATGCTTGCTTCGGTTACACTAATGTTTTATATTAGCAAAATTATAGTTTTTTAACTATAAAAAACTGTCTTGGTACAATGTGATTCCAGAAATTTCAGGATGAAAGTTCATTTGATATTTCCCTATCTGTACAGATCAAGTTTAGTTAAAGCATGTAGAACTAGGCTGGGCATAGGGATGTACTCCTGTAGTGCCTGCATTTAGGAGGCTGAGGCAGGAGGATGGCCAAAGTTCAAGGCCAGTCTGGACTACACAGTGAGTTCAAGGCCAGCCTAAGCTACATAGCAAGACCTGTCTTTAAAAAAAAAGTATGTAAAATTATAAGGAAAAGTGAAGAAACCAAGCTAAAAGAGAAAGAAACAAGGAGGAAAATGTTTTAGCTCACATGCACCTTAAATTTGTGCAGAACTTTTTTATATTCATATAAGCCATTTGGACGTGGCTGAGCAAGGGGGTGCAAGACTATGTAGACTAGGTCTTTCATGTGTCACAGCAACAAAAAGATACAGTTCACTGATCTTTTGTAAACATTAGTTAAAATTAACCCTGAATCTTCAGCAGAAACCTTATTCAATGCACACGTTAGGACTAAAAGAACTGATTCTAAGACAAGTCAGAAAGGATTTTGAAAACCCAAATGTAGAATTTAGAATGTAGAATATCATCTGTAATTGATACTATTTCGTTCTATATGTTTGATTACTAAAAATAGGATGCAACTTATTTTCTCAAGCTGAGCATGGTGGTACATGCTTGTTATCCCAGCACTGAGGAGGCTGAGACAGGAGGATTGATGTATGTTCAAGGCAGCCTAAATTACATAGTGAGACCCTGTCTCAAAAAAGAAAAAACAGACTTCTTATACCATTGAGAAATTGATAAAAAAAAAAAGAACAAGATTAGGAGCTTTCACACTAGAAATCTTATCCATTCTTCTAAATAACTGAAAGGTTGAGGTCTAGGATTAGTTGTACTCTTTCTTTAGTCACTCCACATCCTGCACTCACTTCCCTTTCTCAAAGCTCTGTATTCTTGCTGTGCCTGAAATTCTCAGGAAGCTTTGCAACTACAGCCCCTCTTTGAAGTCCAGAGACTACAGACTCTTCCGCTCAATGTCGTAGAGGTTGAAGGGTCTGCTCACAGTGCGTTAGGCCTTTACTGACAAGGAGTTTCAGGCTCAGAGGTGCCAGCATGATATAGCGGAACAGGGTGTGACTCATTCCATGGAAATCCCGGAACACCCACATTCAGCTTCGTACACTTTCTGTTTGACACCACATGGACTCTCCTTGACTTCATGTCTTTTGAGGCTGTGTACTGCTCCTTGGGAGTTATTTTGGGTGTACTTTACCCGTCAAAAGTGTAAAGTACTGATTATAATGAAGTCTTTTCTCTGATATCAACTCTTTTTAATCATAGAGCTTACATTCTCTTGGGAGAGGCAAGCATTAAACAATCAAACAAATACATAATTATAACTTGTACAGGCAATGAAGAAAATGTAAAGGACACGATGATGATGTATAACGGGAAACTGATTTGCTTTAGAGGAAAAGTAGTTACAGAAAAGCTTTTATGAGAACATTATATTGGGGTCCAAATTATAAAGAGTGTCAGCAAGGCCTGCTTAGTCAGAACAGCATTCCAATGAGGAGGAGCCAGAGCAAGATCTCATGGCAGGCTCGCCATGACTTCAGGGTTGCAGCTGAAGGTGAGAGGGATTGGACCAAGGCAGAGAAGGTGGCCTGGGGCCCGGGAGTGAGGGCGGTCTAGGACTTGGCAAAAACTGAGATTTTACTCAAACAGCCACTGGAGTCCTTAGAAGACACTAAGCAGGAACATGACCTGGGCCGATGTGCTTTTATACAATCTCGTGACGATGACTGCCAGAGAGCTCGGCGGTACAGTTGTATGAACCTATTCCACGGGAGGAAGCCAGTAAAAGTCCTTCTCTCCTACACGTAAGACAATCAAAACAAATGCCCTTTGGTCTGCCGGTAATATCCTTGGAATTACTGGCAATCTAATATGAAAACTAATTGTACAACCAAAATAGTGCATTTCTTAATCAGAGAAAAATTAACAAAGTTTATGCAAAATTCACAAAGCATGGATATCTTGAAAACAGTATATCTTGAAAACAGTAAAAATTACATAGCATATATTTAAAATAGTAAGACAAAGGAATTACCACACAGTATGACAAATTTGAATTTCTTACAGGACAAACGCAACCTTAATTTATATCAGAAGTTAAATATTTTAATTTTAAGCTAAATGATCCTCACAATTCCTATTCAGAAAGTAAGGCCAAAAGTAAGTTTAAGGAAATAGTTTCTGATATAGATTATGAAAGGACAACCTGTTTAGTATGTAGTACTTTAAATTCATCATAAAGAAAAAATCCTTAGTAATACCCTGAAATGTAATTTCTCAAATAAGTGGCTTTATTTTTATAATGCTAAACTATATGTAACAGTGCTATATGTAATACAAGGTCATCAAATACTCCAATATGGATTTGCTTATCACTATAGAAAAAGGATAGATGTGAGATTATTACATATTATAGGCTGTGAAATTATCACCAATAATCAACCTCCATAGTGTTTAAAAAATGATTATTTGAGTGGATCTAATTAAGATACAGTAAAGTCTCTAACTTACAAGTGACCAGCTCTGGGAGAAGGTTTGTAAATCTGACAAAGTTTTATACACCTTTGATACAAATATACAATGTGAAGTATAAAGAAAAAATGAGGTCTGTTCCTATCTGTGAAAGTTTCCAAGTCAAATATTAGTAAGTCAGGGACTTAATTATAAAATGAAGAGGAGGGTAGCAAAAAATTTAAGACTACAGTGTATGATTCTCCCAACCTCCACTGGATACTAAAGATTTTGCTGTAGGAACTGAAAATCTCTTTTCAGGTTAAAGTTTATTCTAAAAAGCGTATGAAACTGACACACTTAATGATTTGGTATCGTTTAAACAAATCATGTAGACTTAATTTGTAGTGAAACGGTTTTATATAAATCCTATTTGAATAAAATGGAGTGGAATAAAACCATGGAGTTGAATAAAACTATGGACAAAAGGAGGAATTTAGTAGTCTTTAATAGAAATAACAGTAAAAACAATAAAAGCTCTTGGTGAATACACGAAGAAGGGCAGAGGTCCAACTGTATTTTGTTTTGGCATTTTACAGTGAAACACAGTATGGGGACTCATTTTAAAAAGTGGCCTGGTGGGTTTAGGGTTTATAGGACAGTAGTTTTTTAGCTGTTTCTCAGAAACTGAGTTGAATGGAAACTGTTCCTTTGCATTTCTAAGTTTTTCCAAGTTATGTGGGGGGAGGGGGGAGCCTCCTTCCTGGGAGGAAAGGTCCTTATCCTTCTATTCTCATCCTAACATTTTCATTTTTGTTTTTGTATCTTCTGTGTCTCTAGGCTTGGCTTAGCTGCTTGAATTAGCTCTTAGCCTGGCTGGGCTATCTGACCCGTCATTAGTCTGCTCTGACTGCCTACTCATAATAACTAAACTATCACAGTAGCACATTTCTTTGTAGAAAACATCTTAAACTTCACAACTAAAAGTTAGATAATATGCTACAGGAAAGCATAGTTTCATAGTTTCTGAAGTCAAATGTGTTTCTTTGTTGGACACTTTAACCTAAGAAGAAAAATAACTGAAAACGTTATAAACCAGTTAATTTTTATAGCTTCTACAATATTTGATGTTTAAAATAAATAATGTTCTTGGGAGGCCTACATTTCTGCTTAATGAAGAAAATAGCCCTTCACATTGCTTCTTGGTGAATACAGGATTTAGTAAATGCTTGCTTTGTTCCTTGTTCTTGGGAAAACCTTAAACACAAAGTATAAAGAAAAAAAAAAAAGGTTACAGTTCTAGAGTGAAACAAAGTTGTTTAGTCATCAGAAACATCTGGTACTGAATGAGGATTTCTTCATTAATGAGAGGGCCTGAAATATAAATATTCACAGGTTCGAAAGTATTGCCAAATAGGTTATCAAGCAAAAAATACGCAACCACCTGGATAACAACATCCATCTGTCTGACTGAATTTAGTCAAAAATAATTTTTTAGACTTGTTCATAAAACCCTCATGCAAAATGTATTTGATTGAATAATTTACTATGAATATTTCTATAAGCATCATAAAGTGTTATAGTATATAATGAATGAATATACTAATTATCTTACTTTGAGCCATTGCCACAGCTTCCAGTGAATATATTTTATAGATTACTGGTTGTGTTTTATTGTCTCGCTGGTTCCCACTTAAAAAAACAAGACTTTTCTAGATACAGTGTAGGCCGTCCCATTTCCCCCTTCACAGGGAAAAAGCAGTGATGTAAAATATTCCTAGATGTAGCCAGTATTTACTTGAAGCCGAGCACGAAGGTCATTTCCCTAGAGCTGTGTGCTACAGTGCTCTTCTGATCTTCCCTGCACAGGATCTCGGATGATGGCTCACGCTAGGACGAGTTAAGAAAAGGCTG